AATGACATTGTGGCGCATGTATACAGAAAACCAGCACATTGTGGTGCAAGTGTATACAGATAACCAGCACCTTGTGGTGCAAGTGTATAATACAGACAATCAGCACATTGTTAGATGATGTCAGTTCCTCCGACCTACATCATTGGCGGAGGAAACCGTATTGAAAAGTGCGAAGGCACTGCTTTGATTTATACTGGTACAATGATGGGCAATGGAAGGATGAATTGTTATCTATCAATTTCAGGTTAGTACATGAGGTATAGGCCTATATGAAAACAAGACCCTAATAGACAGATGACATCTGACGGCCTAGTAAATATCCAGAGGCGTATTGTTAATTAGTTTAAAGTCAACAGTAACTGGAAGACCAATATTACTTGTAATGGACAGATTTTACACTTTTCACCGATATTCGGTAAGCCGCCATAAACGTATATCATAACCTGCAGTTATTTTAATATGATAGATATCGTCGAGTATTTTCTATCTCTCGTAAGAAAAACGATCTACCATCAACATTTTGCAGTCATATTCCGCTCTACGGAAATTGCCGAGAGTTGCCGATTGATTGCCAGGGACTTTCAAGCTATCTGCAACACTTTTCAAAATTGAATTGCGATGTTTGATGAAAATGACAAACAAAAGTTAAAGCAAACATTTTACATGGTGACTTCAGTAAGCCATCATTCAAAAAAGAAATTCTATCCATCTAATAAATTACCTATAATGTGCAGCCGATAAATAAAGAAATGATAAATGTTCAACTAGACAATATCATTCAAAGTCGTATTTGGAGACGACGAAATTTGTTGCGAATTCACATTCAAAGAAAATATCACTACATTTATGAAATTATTGGTCTCTTCATACAAAAGAGCAATTAAGTTCTCTCTCTTTTAGTATTACGGCATATTGCGAAATTTTAAACAGATGGAAACCACATTAATATAAGTAATGAAGCCATCAAATTTCGAAATGTTATTATAGTGAGAGAGAGAGAGAGAGAGAGCATAGTACTATGATGTTTATATTGACCAATATATCGATTGAAGCATTAATTCTGATGTCCGGATTAAATATTTCAAAATATTACAACACTATCTCAGATCACGTTCACATAAAATACAACCGTTGCTATGTGACCTTGTGAGGTGTAAAGGTCAAGTTTGCAACTGCAAGCAACTGGATTTTCAACGACTGCTAACAACTTCCGGCATGCAGGAGAATCTGGATTAGTTGACAAAAAAATCAAAAGGCGAAAAATAAAAGATGACGTTTGTTGTCATCGTCTTTTCCCGACCTACTTTCTAGAAAAAAAAGTGGAACCGTGAGATTTTGCAACCACCCAGTTGTACAAATATGGAACAAATATTTTAAAATATTTCGCACCATCCTATGAATTAAATGGTATTGGCGCGGTGGGAGTTAAGAAAAGTGTGTACAAATGATTTGCTTCGATGGCCACAATAATGCTGATCAGAGTTTCCTATTCCCCGAAGATTGGAAGTAAATTCACAATCGACGCGAAGAATGTTAGTTTACAAGGACAGTATTAAATCCTCCATTAGACTACCGATCGATGGATGACCTTCTCATAGTATGAAGTAGCTGGCGTCTAGATGAATGTATAATATGAAACTGTAATGAACATATCACTCTAAATAACTTATGTGACCATTATTTTCTCGCTTTCCATTATATGGTGCTCTGATGACAGGAACCATCTGGTTCTTGCCTACTGCAATAACAGCTAATGATACCACAAACACTGGACTCTGGTACCAATAATTTATGGGTATGATCTAAAATCCTGCTCGAACCATAATGATATCTGAACAGTCCTACATTTTACATGCTTTAACTTACACCCGAAAATTACCGTATACTCCCCTGTCAGGATTTTCTCGGAATGAAAGATGTACATGTAAATGTTTTACTGCGTTCTATTTCTGAAGCAACCAATCTATGAACATTAATGGAATGAATATAAACTAAATGCACTGCTATATGTGTAATGGACTATAAAATTAATCAAATACAAAAAAGAACAGTATTATGAAATAAATAATGAAATTAAAAAATTCCAATTTATTGCAATAAGTACAGTAAGCTGTACGATATGCTCGGAAGTACAGTAAATATCAAACGAGTTTGTCAGATTAGGTACAACAGGCTTTACAACAAGCCACAATAAGTAACCAACTGTACTTTGTACAGTTACCCTCCATTGATAGTAGAGTATGCTATAAACGAAGACCATACTGTTCGGGCTAACAAGCTGAATTTGACAAGTTTGTACTAGAGATCCTACACCAAATACTTTTCAAACCCAGCCAAAGTCAGCAGTAACAATTTCGAAGAACTTATAGAGAGCAGTATTAACTGATATATCGAAAAATATAGAAATCAGTTCAATTTCTATAAATGATATAATTATGTCATTGCTTACGCAAGATTCTTTCTATATTTACACCGATCAATATTCGGCAAACACCACCTAATCTTTTTTTTAAAGACTCATCTGTTCCGTTTTGTTTTAATATTTTCTATTTGACGCCTAAAATTGTCATTTATCAAGATGACGTCATAGCAAAACGAATTCAAAATTTAACAATTTCAAAAAAATCAAATTGCTTGGAGAAAATGAGAGCAGTTGCGCAATGCACGTTTCTGTACTGTTTAAAATTTTCTCATGAAGCCGTGTAATTGTCATATGATATGAGTACACTACAGTAAACTACGTTCCAGCAATAAAGTGAGGCCATTGAAAATTGCAATCGATAAAGATGTCTAATCGAATGACCCAAATTTTTGAATCAATAATTAGGTCACACACTTGACGGAGAATGAAACATTAACCTATTAACGTAATGATAAATGATGTCTTAAAAATTGTCAAACTATCACTCTTCGTCTTTTCAACCTCCATGAAATTCAGTTTACAAAAATGATGTTCATGTTACCAGAATTACGTAGTAGATTACAGCTGTGTCTGAAATTAAGATATACTTAAGAATTACTGCTACTATATATACATCTACAAGAATTACAGCTACTATATATACATCCTACAAGAATTACAGCTGCTATATATACATTTACAGGAATTGCAGCTACTATATATACATCCTACAAGTATTAAATCTACTGTATATACATCTACAAGAATTGCAGCTACTATATATACATCCTACAGGAATTACAGCTACTATACATCCACACGAACTACAGCTACTATACATCTACAGGAATTACAGCTACTATATATACATCCTACAAGAATTACAGCTACTATACATCTACAGGAATTACAGCTACTATATATATACATCCTACAAGAATTACAGCTACTATATATACATCCTACAAGAATTACAGCTACTATATATACATCCTACAAGAATTACAGCTACTATATATACATCTACAAGAATTACAGCTACTATACATCTACAGGAATTGTATATACATCCTACAAGAATTATAGCTACTATATATACATACTACAAGAATTACAGCTACTATATATACATCTACAAGAATTACAGCTACTATACATCTACAGGAATTACAGCTACTATATATACATCCTACAAGAATTACAGCTACTATACATCTACAGGAATTACAGCTACTATATATACATCCTACAAGAATTACAGCTACTATACATCTACAGGAATTACAGCTACTATATATACATCCTACAAGAATTACAGCTACTATACATCTACCGGAATTACAGCTACTATATATACATCCTACAAGAATTACAGCTACTATACATCTACAGGAATTACAGCTACTATATATACATCCTACAAGAATTACAGCTACTATATATACATCCTACAAGAATTACAGCTTCTGTATATACAACTACAAGAATTGAGGCTACTATATATACATCCTACAGGAATTACAGCTACTATACATCTACAGGAATTACAGCTACTATATATACATCCTACAAGAATTACAGCTACTATACATCTACAGGAATTACAGCTACTATATATACATCCTACAAGACTTACAGCTACTATATACATCTACAGGAATTACATCTACTATATATACATCCTACAAGAATTACAGCTACTATATATACATCCTACAAGAATTACAGCTACTATATATACATCCTACAAGAATTACAGCTACTATATATACATCCTACCAGAATTACAGCTACTATATATACATCTACAAGAATTACAGCTACTATATATACATCTACAAGAATTACAGCTACTATATATACATCTACAAGAATTACAGCTACTATATATACATCCTACAAGAATTACAGCTACTATACATCTACAAGAATTACATCTACTATATATACATCTACAGGAATTGCAGCTACTATATATCTACAGGAATTACAGCTACTATATATACATCTACAAGAATTACAGCTACTATATATACATCTACAATAATTACAGCACTTGGATATACATCTACAGGAATTACAGCTACTATATATACATCTACAGGAATTGCAGCTACTATATATACATCCTACAAGAATTACAGCTACTATATATACATCTACAAGGATTACAGCTACCATATATACATCTACAAGAATAACAGCTACTTTATATACATCCTACAAGACTTACAGCTACTATATATACATCCTACAAGAATTACAGCTACTATATATACATCTACAGGAATTACAGCTACTATATATACATCCTAAAAGACTTACAGCTACTATACATCTACAAGAATAACAGCACTTGATGAATGTATAATATGAAACTGTAATGGACATATCACTCTAAATAACTTATGTGACCATTATTTTCTCGCTTTCCATTATATGGTGCTCTGATGACAGGAACCATCTGGTTCTTGTCTACTGCAATAACAGCTAATGATACCACAAACACTGGACTCTGGTACCAATAATTTATGGGTATGATCTATACATCCTACAAGAATTACAGCTACTATATATACATCTACAGGAATTACAGCTACTATATATACATCCTACAAGACTTACAGCTACTATATATACACCTACAAGAATTACAGCTACTATATATACATCTACAAGAATTACAGCTACTATTTATACATCTACAAGAATTACAGCTACTATATATACATCTACAAGAATTACAGCTACTATATATACATCTACAAGAATTACAGCTACTATATATACATCTACAAGAATTACAGCTACTATATATACATCTACAAGAATTACAGCTACTATATATACATCTACAAGAATTACAGATACTGTATATACATCTACAAGAATTACAGAACATGGATATACATCTACAGGAATTGCAGCTACTATATATACATCTACAAGACTTACAGCTGCTATATATACATCTACAAGAATTACAGCACATGGATATACCTGTACAAGAATTACCGCACTTAGATGTACTTAAACAACATTACATCCTTAAGATAAACATGTACTAGTACACGAATTATAGCAGTGGGGTATACTTTTACAACAGTTAGATATATGTACAGGGATTTCTGCTTTAAGATTTCTTATTCAAGAATTGCAGTTGTTAGATATACTTGTACAAGAATTACATTTGTTGAATACACTTGTACAACATTGCAGCTGTTAGACCTATTTGTGCAAGAATTACAGCTGTAAAACATACCTGTACAATAATTGCAGCTTTAAGATTTTTGGTACAAGAATCATTTAAAACTTTAGCTGTTAGACATTCATGTGCAAAAATTGTAAAGACGCTACCTTTCGATTTCTTAAAGATCATTCAAGCTAATGAACGGACAGCGAAACGAAATAACATTGTGTCAGATAAGTTATATTTTTACTTGAAATATTCTTATTTGTAAAATCTAGTAAATGCCATCAGTTCCCATGAAATAATTCCATTTATTTGATCAAATTAGTTTAAATGTCATCATGTTCATGCAAGTTTGAAGTTCATTAATTAATTATTTATCATTGTATGAAAATGCCGAGCGACATTATAGAATTGTAGAGTATTGTTGATATATAAAATTGTTAATTTTATTATATACAATAGCCAACATTTTGGAAATGATCGCTGAGAAGTCTTTTACTGGAACGTTATTATACATAAGATGAGCATTTGATCTTCATCCTTGACAAGTTTGATTTTCTATGTATGTAATTGTTCATTCTTTATTACATTCGACTGTACCACAGATGCACAAATCACTGTCAGGTGTGGAATCTCGACTTAATTTTACTGGAGATCGAAATAATCCTGTTTTAATTAGAAATCGGGTGTAGATGATTCTTTTCTAATTGATATATCTCTATAATACACTGATGACGTCAAACAAATCCGCACTACAATTATTATTATTTATAGGTTATTAGTTCCATGTAGCAATAGTTATCACATTCTAATTATTTCATATCACCGTATTCTCATCATTACCTATACATCATCAAGTTCGTCAATACAAATCATGTCAGTGTTACAGGAATCAATACAAATCATGCCCTTGTTACACGAATCAATATAAAATAAATCATGTCATTGTTACACTTACAGGAATCAATACAAATCATGTCATTGTTACACTTACAGGAATCAATACAAATCATGCCATTGTTACAGGAATCAATACAAATCAATTCTATGTTACAGTAATCAATTCAAAATAAATCATGCCATTGTCACACTTACAGGAATCAATACAAACCATGACCTTGTTACAGGAATCAATACAAATCATGTCATTGTTACAGGAATCAATACAAATCATGTCATTGTTACACTTACAGGAATCAATACAAATCATGTCATTGTTACAGGAATCAATACAAATCATGTCATTGTTACAGGAATCAATACAAATCATGTCATTGTTACAGGAATCAATACAAAATAAATCATGTCATTGTTACACTTACAGGAATCAATACAAATCATGTTATTGTTACAGGAATCAATACAAATCATGTCATTGTTACAGGAATCAATTCAAAATAAATAATGCCATTGTCACACTTACAGGAATCAATACAAACCATGTCATTGTTACAGGAATCAATACAAATCATGTCATTGTTAAAGGAATCAATACAAAATAAATCATGTCATTGTTACACTTACAGGATTAATACGATTCAAATCTATGTTACAGGAATCAATACAAGTCATGTCGGATGTTACGGGAGAATCAATACACATAATATTGTCATTGTTACAGGAATCTAAGCAAATCATGCTCTTGTTACAAGAATGAATACAAATCATACTATTGTAATACGAATCGACAAACATAAAGTCATGTCATTGGGTATATACTGTATAGCAGCGAGTGTCATTTGTTTTAGTGAGTCGACGATGTCGTTCATGGAATCGAGGATGCTGTAAATACTGTATATATCAGTCGAGTAAGTTATTAAAAGAAAGTCCCCTGACAGGATGTAGGAGATGAATTACGAGAAGGCCTGGTGTTCTAGGATGAGGCATTTGATTGATCAAGTTTTACAGTTATATTGACAGGTCTAGTCTTCCTCTTAACTTAGCTCATAGTGGCGGTAAATTACCTCGAATAAACCCTTATTCAGGTCAATTCCCCTCAATGTCGTTTTTGACCATATGAAATGGTCGGTGATCCGTTATCTTCTCTTATAATTTTGTTTCATAATACATGGTGGTGGTAAATCAGTTACTTTTACCCACGTACCCATGCTTTCAAACTACTATGTTTTTAGTGTAAAGGGCAACAGGCTGAATGAATTTAGTCAAACGACATACTTATCTTCGAATAAACATGTCAATTAATACGGCCCCTCGAAAGTAGAATTATATGCAAACGCATTGTATATGGCATAAGAATGACTCAATAAACAATTGACTTATACAAATCATGCGACATCTCAAAAGATGAAATTTCAATTATATCCAAACTAAAGTATATTATCGCATTGTAATTTTAGGCCAGGAAATCATTGCCAGTTTCTTTTCACAATCACTACAATAACTAGGCATGAATGAGCCTTTTTCATATTTTCTGCTTCAGCCAAGCCGCAGCATTAGCCAACTCTTCATTCGACGAAGAAGTGAGTTGTGGTTCACATCCAACCAATAAATAATCCAACCTGATAATATATTGTGAACGGATTTGAGAAACGAATTGAGGTCCTACCTTATAGTGGGCTGGAAACCAAAACAATAAATTATCTGCCATTATTTTCAGACGTCCAATTCAAACTGACAATTTGTGCCAATTACACGGCGATATACTCGGATTATTCTTTCTGATCTATATCCATGTATCTTAAACACTCACTTTGTCTTATTGAGTGTTTATTGTTTTAAACCTCAAGTGAATACCAAAAAAGTTATTCACTTGGTCCGAAGTCGAAAATATTCAGAAATTTTCCAGGTACATGTACTTAAACACAAAAAAATCAGTTGTTTTATTCACGTACACCAACTCAAATGTCTCATTTCAAGTATTCAATGCGTACTTAACATTACTTCTAATTCATTTCCGAATCGTCTGCCCTTATAAATTATTCTTGTACTAAAGAAGTTCACGATTGTATAAATTATTCGATGTTTTTTATTTTGAATTTTGAATATTTTATTAATGAATAAATTGCAATATCTTTATGATTGAATTGGGTGATTTAATGCAAAAAACTTACAACGGAATTTTTAGCTTTTATAGAGTATCTATGGGAACTTTTTATTTTTTTTCATTTTTACTTTGTGCAGAAATGCTTGATCATATCACTTGTGGTATTTCGTCTTTTACAGACACAATGTTCAACATTTCACTTGCGAGTTGTTTGTTGCTCAAGTTCACCGAGTTAACTGGTGACTTATATCATCAGTGATGCAGATCGGAGGAACTGATATGGAAAAGCGTCTAGTCGTTTAGATGGGACATAGAGGTCGTGTCAGGTACGATTTAAGATGTGAACATAGCTTTACCATGGAAGTCATTCACTTCTATTTCAAGTGATTATTCGAACATTTCCTGTTAAAATGAACTATTCTAGTGAGAGTATTACATAATAACATTGTATTCAAGGCTACTTCAAACTACGCCCCCACTTTCTTAGGTATATCAACTTCGTGTTTCAAAGGTGAATGGACTTTTTGGAAATTAAGCCCTTCATACATAAGGTAGATATTCTCGTTACTGGAATTAGAACCGCCTACTAAAGGTTCGAACAACATAAAACATTTTTCCATCAGGTATCTCAAATCCATTCAGACCAACCATTTTTCCCTAAAGCCTTGGACTGTATCTCTGAATATTTCTATTTGCAACTGTATCGATCCCGCATCAGTGGTGAATTGACCTTTCGATTCTAGCATGCCTTTTCATGTATCCACCACCATATAGTATAGACTTTAGAGACCAATGACAACATCATCGAAGGTTGAGAAAGGCATTGGGTTTCCAAATTGTCTCTCATAATAATGTTGCTCAAGCGAAAGAGTAGGGGGAAATGTTGCTCTAAATCCAATTACTCAAACTTGCCAACGTTCTAGAAACTACTAACCGAGATGATTGCTATACTCAGTGAAATTAGATTATTGACACCAACGAATACTCCTCTTTAAAATATAACCTTGGAAAGTGAAATGTGTTTAAGAGATAAATATGTGGTATATTGAAAGAATGAGGTAATTGTAATAGAACATGAATATTTAATAGTTCATATAAATAATTTAACCCATTAATATAAATAAAGATAGGCATGATTACTAGAACATAGCTTAGCACTTAGTTTTCTTTTATGTTTATGATCGGTAAAGTGTGCACTTTTAATCACCACCATCAAAAGGATTGTACCTCATACAAGTTTTTAAATTTAAAGGAAAGGGGGGGGGAGGCACACTGACAAAGTCTTTATAACTTAACATTATAATGTGGATTGGTTCGTTAAACTGGGAAATCCTTATAATATATATTTCAAAATAGTATGTGAGTATAGTATTTCAATGATCAATAGTCGAAATTTCATGCTTGGCATTTTTTGGCCGATGAAAAGAGTCGTCTGTAAATTTACAAGTACCAGCTTATTAAACGCTACTCTTCATTTGTTTTGAGCTTGCAATTCATGCTATGCATCATTAATACATTATTCAAATACATTCAATATATGTACATTCATATCATGAAAATTTTATAACTAAATGTCAGAACATCGTTTAGAGATAGCAGTATTCTCAAAAGGATTCAGGAAAGATCGCAGAAAATACGTCATTAGCATGAAAACTGACTGCAATGCCCTTTTATCATATAAATATTGAATACCAGTTAAATTATGAACAGGGTGGTTCTCTGAATAAATTCAAAGTTTTAGAGCATGAAATTGGAACCAGTGCCTAGTTTTGGAGCATGGAATTCATAAGAGACTTTGTGTAAGTTTTTGAGTATGGCATCGGGCACTTTTTTAGAGCAT